ATCACCTAAAATAATCTAAAATAAATAAAAAACATTTAGTATTCAACAAGATTTTTTCCATTGTACCTACGTCCTACTTAGATTAGTTTTTTATTAAATACGGTTGTCTATTAAGTTTTTTATTTGATATTGTTTTTTTTTTATAAAATATAGATTTTCTCTAGATCGGAAGTCTTTAATATTACGGTTATAATGGAAAAAAATCTTGTTGAATACTAAATGTTTTTTATTTATTTTAGATTGTTTATTAAAAATTAATTATTTTTTATTCACTATAGGTGATTAACTCAGGCTTTTTTTTATAGATTTTTTAATCACCTAGGCTTTTTTTATTTAATACAATTTTTTTCTATTCTACTTAGATTATTTTTATTGAATACAATTTTTTATCATGGTTTTTTTGTTTAATATAGATTCATTAATCAAATATAGATTTTTATTTAAAATAGATTATTTATTAAAAATTGATTTTTTTTTATTAACTAAATGTAATTTACTCAGGTTTTTTTATAGATTTTTTATTCAACTAGGCTTTTTTATTCAATCAAGATTATAATGGTGAGCTTGGAAAAATATTTAATTACAATATTGCGTATAACCTAAAAAAAAGCTTAGTTGAATAAAAAATGTATAAAAAAAACTTTAGTAAAATACCTGCAGTTAATAAAAAAAATCTATTTTTAATATACAATCCATATTAAATAAAAAACTTAATAGACAACTGTATTTAATAAGAAAATATTCTAAGTACAATGGAAAATATCTTGATTGAATAAAAAATCTCTCTTGACAAAAAAATGATTTTATTGTTTTTGGAGGGGAGGAAGGTCGTGCGAATTTTCAAACCGGGCGTGCGAATTCGTGCGAATTACGTGCTAAATGTCTGCAGAAGAAAATTTGCGAAAATGTTAATTTGGACCTCCGGGGGGGCTGGCGAAACGTTTTGCCAGCCCCCCCCATGAATTTTTGTTTTTCTAGGGGAAGGAAGGTCGTGCGAATTTTCAAACCAGGCGTGCGAATTCGTGCGAATTACGTGCTAAATATCTGCAAAAAAAAAATTGCTAAAATGTTGATTTAAACTATGGGGGGGGCTGGCAAGACGTGTTGCTGGCCCCCCCCATGGATTTTGATTTTTGAGGGGGAAGGAGAGTCGTGCGAATTTCAAAACTAGGCGTGCGAATACGTGCGAATTACGTGCTAAATATCTGCAAAAAAAAAATTGCGAAAATGTTGATTTAAACTATGGGGGGGGCTGGCAAGACGTGTTGCTGGCCCCCCCCCCCCATGGATTTTGATTTTTGAGGGGGAAGGAAGGTCGTGCGAATTATCAAACCAGGCGTGCGAATTCGTGCGAATTACGTGCTAAATATCTGTATAGTTTGTTTACAGTTTTTCCTTTGGGGGGGGGGGCTGGCCAAACGTACGTGTTCGATACATCGTATAATAATATACTCCGGAAGCGTTTGAAAATAAATAGTATAACGTCTACAGTGAAGCCAGTTGGTACAATAATTGGCATCGCGGAAGTTGTGGCACCGTTGGCCGTTGTAGCATAGTAGTTAGCCGTATCGTTTACAAAACAGTTAATTAATTGGAGGGAAATGTTAATGGATTTTCGCAGCGCGCACGGTCGTCAATGTGCGTTTCGTGCACAGCGTGGAAAATTCGACCCCGGTCTTATACTGATGTGAACTATGTGCTTGCGTGTGAATGGGTGTGTGGGTGTGTGGGTGTCGGTTGTTTTGCACGTAATAGATATGATTATAATGTCGTGATATTCCAGTGCGTTCATCTCGAGTCTGCCAAAGAAGATACATCGTTTTTTGAACGCGGATGACGTTCCGAGCGAATACATCAAAATATATTGTCTTATCGGTATAGTATAATATCGTTTTAAGAATATTATTATTGCACTGCCGCGTGTAAACGTTGACGCGTTTACGCGGGTGATACCGGCATCGGTATACCGGCCGTCGGACAGAAAAGAAATTTTCGAATTTCCGGTTTAAGCGTAAGGTTCCCCGCACCATTCGGCGAGTGTACTCACAAAACACGACAACATTATAATATTGTGTTTATAATATTATAATAACACATAACGTTTTGTTTTTCACCCGCGGGTCGGTGTGATGATATATGGGAGTGATTTTCGACGTGACGTAACGAAAAACGCAAGCCACCGTATCGGCACATATATATATATATATAGGTAGGCTGGTTATTATTATTTTTACGGTTCGTGTGTGCTTTTGTTTCTAGTCTCGGGACGTAGCGGTTCTATAGGGTGTATAGGGGGGGAGAGGGGCTGTTGGGTGAAGGGGGTGTGTGTGTACGCTGAATGGCAATCAATATGCGGAAGAGGGGTGGTGGTGGCGGCGGTAGCGTGTCGGTGTGTGGATAGGCCTAGTTCCCAGTTTCCTTTTGTGCACTCCCTTCCCTCCCCCACACCACCAACGAAACGACCACGGAGGAGTTATCTTCGGCACGAGATTCCCATTCAATTCCGTTTCCATTACTCCGGGCGGCGGACACTGTGCAGCGGTCTACACCGTAACCGCACCCTCGAGCCTCCAGAGCCCCCCTCCACCGCCCGAACCGCTATTGGCCATCTGATTAATTATTTTCACCGTTCCACACCTATATCTAAAGCCACCGAAACCATTATGTCGGCGGCCGATGCGTTTCCCGCGGTGAAAACCTACCTGCAGTCCGTTTGCCGCGGTTTCGGTGGCATGTGTGCGACAAGACGGTAGCGGCAAGTGTAGAACGAGTCCGGACGAGATGAGAAAAACACGTGATGACCAAGATCACTTTTCATCATCGGCCGAGCCAAGCTGCTATACCCCCGGATTCGTTGGCTATAATTCAGTGGTTCACGACCTTTGTGTGTTGGTCACCCAAGATATTTATCCAATTTTTCAAGTGACCTTATCGAAAACAATGTCCAATGTAGCCCCACTCGCCCCTCGACCTTATTTTTTTTCAATTGCCATAACTTAAAAAAACTATTAATTTTAATTTTTATATTTTTTTTTTATTCATTTCGCTCATATTATTTTAATATAATTTTTTAAGTGTAACTAATTATAATAAAATAATTCTTCAACCCTACGGTCGTAAGCCACTAGGATATATAGTACGAACGACAGAACTTAACCGCGTTTACCGAATTTCACGCGAAAGCGTGATAATGTCGTTTCGGGGAATAGGATTTCAGTTGGAAAATGACTTCTTGCTATTATTTTAAAAATGTTTACTTTCATATAAGTTGTATTTTCGATATTATGACGTACCTACTTACATATATATATTGTATACGCTATATAAAAATATAGCATTAATAAAACTTTTAAATATGGGTAATCAATCACATTGTCTCGTTAAGTTTTCTTTTTAGACTGCACACTTGGTAATAACTAATAAGTATAATAATAATATAGTGTAAGCACACGTGAAAGCTGCAAGCACATTAAATATTTAAAATATTAAATTGTTTAATCAAATAAAAAAAATAATGGTACGCAATTAATTTTATGTGGCGGAAACAAACGTTCGCATTTGATGTATCACGCGCATTTTTCGGACAACGTATTTTTGTTATTTAAAAATAAACGGTTTAATCATATTTATAATGATTTTGTTTCAAAAAATATACATCATCCATGTTCATTATAAATATTTTTACAAGAACATAAATGCAATTTTATTTATTACATAAAAATAAATTTAGATTCAAGTAGGTAGTCAGCGCCATGTTAAAAATGATCACTTTTACATATTATAATATAGAAACTATAATTAATCACGCGACGCAATATTATTAATATAAGTCCGATTAATTAGTTTCTTAAAATATATAAATAAAATGAAAGTTATTTTATTACTCAATCTCAATTTTAAGTTTTTATGATCAACTACGCCGTTTGTATTTTTGCATATTCCGTACATTTTCTATTCTTATATAGTTGATCTCCATGATACTCAGCTATTTCTTACTTTTTTATACTTTAACAATCGTCTAGGTACATCAGTAAATTCCCATAAATGTCTATTACGATATTATCACTTCGGCTTGAGGCGTACCTAATATGTATCGGACACGTGCTCCTACATAACTGTATATGATATGTATTTTAAATATTACAAAAAAAATCAAATAAAAGCAGCAACACCAAACATGATTAAATAAATAAACATCTGTGAGCGGATATATCGCCGTTTAGGCGTGTCCTATAATATTATGCAGAGTGCGTGCATATATATATATTATTTTTATCATATTGGTGCCAATAACTTCTCAGTTCCGGGATATTTTAAATAATTGTTGTTTAATCGTTTTTTTTTCTTTTTACCACTAATTTGAGTTATTTTTTTTTATCACCGCACAAAACTGTTGAGCATATAAGTAGGTTACCTAAAACCGTTTGACACTTCTGAGCGATATCGCCGTTTTAAATGCATTATTTGGTGTACTTTTTCTGTGCACGATTTAATGTCTGACACACTATAATATTATAGTAATAGACACAGCACCATAAAAAAAAATTGTTCAGAAATCGTTGAAAATCTGAAAATCTGAAAATCTGATAATATAATGTTTTTTTTATATATATATATATATTGTACTCATCGACTGCCAAGGTTATTGGAGTTTCCGAAATACATTACGTTTAAAATTTTTTTTTTAAATCAATTTAATGTCATGTAGGTATATTATACGATAGTTTGGAGTCAATACACAATGTTATACGCTGTGCAGTTTTCGTTCGAAATACGCTTTTTTTGAGTTTGGAGTTAGGAGTTCCGTGAAGATTCACCACGTCCAACGGTCGCGACCGTCATGGACCCCATCATGCACTTTATGCTTTTGTTTTTTTATACATATTTTAGAATTGAGACGGATTCATGGCTACAACTGAGTTATATGAGTTATAGTTCTTTGAGTTGTATGTGCAGCTGATTTAATGACCACAAACACACGAATTGAAACGATCTCGTTTTTAAACTGTATGCGACCGGATATTTTTTTTATCCTCTTCGCCGTCGTCTTTACGACGACGTAGACCACGTGCTGTGCGGGGGCGCCTACCAACTGAAATAGCCGCGACATCACAAACGGACGTCACGGTCTGTGTAATCATATCTATCAGTTTATTTCTGTCATCGCCGTCACTACACGTCGAGAGGCCTTCAGACGAAGTCGACATCGTTTTGTTTCCTATGCAGTGTATGTGGTGGCCCTCAAAGGTGCGTAGGTACGCTTGTCTGCGTTTGCTCATCTGTATTATAATAATGGTATATGCTTGTATAATTATTGTTACATTAGATTATAATATTATTATATTATGACGTGAACTAATAATATTATTGTTAAACGGAGCACCTACGAAAAGTATAGACAGTACCTTTAGTAGATAACAAACGTGCAAGCCACTGCAAATGCATGACATATATAATAATTGTTACGAGATAATGTCGATTCTTGTTTTCACCTCGTGCAAGTTGCACACACAGGTGTAAACAACATATTTATACATATTAGATCGAACATTCGGGGCGTTTGATGGGATTCTTTGCGAATTTGATTTTGTATTAGGATGTCAGCTGTATTGTCTCAAACCGTTTTAGGCGTCCTGAAGGATTGACATTTTCACATAATTTAATACTATTATTGTTTTATTAGATTATTGACATGAACGGGAAATAATAAATGTTAAACCACGAGTACGTAAAGTATTAAGTACTCAACGATTGTTGTAGATCACAAACGTATACATCACTACAAACACATGACATGTTTAATTATTATAATATGTATTAATGTCGTCTCTCTTGTTCACCTTGTGCATGTTGAGCACATAGCTACCTATTTATATATAAATGTATATCGAACATTCGGGACAGATGGGGCTCTTTACGAATTTAATTTTGAATCTTGGTTTTGTGTTCCTCGACGGAGTCGAATGTTTGTATTGTCTCAAAATGTTTTACGTATCCCGAAGGATTGGCATTTTCAAATGACTATATTATTATATTTTATTAGACTATATTGTGACGTGAACGAGAAATAATAATTGTTAAACGACGCGTACGTAAAGTATTAAGTATACGATTATTGTAGATCACAAACGTTTACCAACCACAAACACATGTACGCTATAATAATAATAATAATAATAATAATAATAATAACAATAATAATAATATCACACAGCGTACGTTTTAAAAACATTATACAAATATCCCACGTGTGATTCCTCCAAAATAATACTTTCAGATGTGCAGCTGATGCTTTTAAATAGTTTTGTTTTTCGAATAATTATAATATGGTAAATACGTATTTATTGTTTGATTGAATTGTGCAGCAAAGCACAGAAAAGTTGTGTTGAGTAACGCATTAAATGTTCGTAATTGCTTAGGAATGACGATCAACTGCAGATAGGTACCTATAATATGTTTCATGTTATAATATGTAATTATTAAATGCGTATATTGTACCTATGGTTATTTTGAATAAACACTAATTGCACACTGCGAAACGTGTCACACGACTCACACGATGATACAGTGAAACTTCCATATTCCGAAGTCTCGTGAAGCATAAAAGAAATTCTTATTATATAGAATTTCGTTCAGTAGATTTGAATAAATTTGGTTCTAATTTGGTTTGGTTCTCAGAAATATTTCGTTAAACAGAACATTTTGTTAAAGGGAGATTCGTTGTATGGAAGTTTCACTGCGTATTATTGTGTAATTTATAACTGAATTAAATCTGTAATAATTTCATATCGAACTGTACAATATTTTTTAATAATGGGCAAGGTAAAATATGTGATGAAAGTTTAAGCCTGAGGCTTTCTTATTAATTTTATTATAACACTAGAAAAATAGCAAATGTATGAATTTATATCACCGTGTATCTGGGATATTAACAATTTAAAAATAAGAATAATAAGTATATATTCTTAACATCAAATAATTTAGTTCATTAGGTAACATAATAAATATTTAAGAAAACGTTACAAGGGAAAACTTACACGTTAGACCAAATAAAGCTATTTTTCAATAACCATATATTGTTAACTCAAACAAACAAATTAACTCAATAAAATATTATATAATATAGATCAATAAGAAATACAGTAATTGATTTGATACTAAATGATAATTTCTTAACCTAACGTTGATTCCTTCAAAAATTGAGTACCATAAGTCGACCAACATAATTTACGGTTTATCAATTGAACATTAGATATAATACCATATATATCCAGATATAATCAGTACCACCACCAACGTGGTTTGAAAAAAAAACATGAACCAATAAACAAAATCATATAGCTGTTAATATTTTTAAAAAAATAATTAAAATCATTTTTTTTACAAATTCTTACGTTTGCGGATAAAAAAAAATAAAATATGTTTAGTAAAATTAAAAGTAATTTCATGTTTTAAACTCATGAAAATGCATAAATTTATTTTAATTTTTGGTCTAAGTATATATTATTTCACAGAACTTTATAGCCAAAAATGTTTTCGCTGAAACTCAGTAGGATTATAAGACTGTAATCCCTTACGTTCACAGACATGAAATAAAAATTCCTTTCAAGAACACGCCCGGTGCATTAAAATAATCATAATAATAATAGTAAAAAACAGAGAAGGGACATAGAGAAAGCAGTTAAATCTTTCATCGTTTTATAGGTCTCGGAAAGCCATGGGTCATATGTGTCTTAGCTTTAAGTAACTTTAATAATAATAATATATCGATAAGAAAACATTGAGTTATGTTAAATTTTTTTATTGGTTCTATAAGTTTTGTTTTATTTAAAATAAATTTACCCTAATTAGCGAAGGCCTGTCGTAAAATAGACGACCAATCTGTTGTTTTTTCTTATTTTAACTTAATATTGTGTCATTGTATAACAGTTTGATGTCCACATTACTTATACAATCGATATATTGTTCAATTTATTGAGGTAGGTTGTAATACTATAATTATAGTAGGTATGTATAATTAAAGGTATTTGTTATTCTGATATTTATTACTTGTTGCCTAATGTCTAGAATATTACTTTTATGTTTTAATATATTCTATCATTATGTTATTGTTAAGTGAAATATATATTTTGTAGTAAAATAATTTTTTTTTTTTCTATATTTAAAAATGCTTGTAGGTTCATGCCATCACTCATATAAAAATATAATTGAAAATAATAAGTTTTTTTGTTTATTTTATGATAAATACATTTTTTAACTTTATTTTTTTAAATATTTCAAAAATAATATTTAATATTATATCATATTATTATACCTAGATAAAATAATACATTTTAAATTTTTGATTTTTTTTTTTTGTGGATTTTAGAATGAATTATATTGAATATTCAAATGTATCAACCGCATGATTGGCTATTTAACATTTTTTATCATAATATTATGTGGTTACTCTGATTTCTTTGGAATAATAACACATTGGTACCAACTAGGTATAAAATATAATATTTAGAGTTCTACACGACATTTAAGTTGACAGGTAACATAATACTAAGCTACTGCACATGTTTGCACAAGCGTCCACGGTGACAAGAACACAGGAACCCTCATATATCATTTGTATACAAACTGACCTGTGTTATGGTGACGTTGATGGCACTGAGGCCTTTTCCATCCAGTGCGAAACCGGTTTCAGGTCCACGACCAACAGTCGGGGCCCCAACCGCGTCCTCATAGATGTGCACACAAGTTGATCACGAAATCGTTCGTATACTGAAGGTATTTAAAACCAACTTTGAGGTTCCGATCGGTTGAAAGCCAAAAAACTACTCGAAATCAAAAACCGACAGACGCACTTTGAAAAGTTCAATTTCGTTTTCCAGCGAAACAACGACGGTGTATAATTTTTGTAGTATAGCTACAGTCCAATATTATAATAACGAGATATTATTAATTTGGATCGCGTATTGTGTCGTGTAGCTCGTGGTATGGTGGTCGAAGTACTGGTACAGTGGTAGTAGTAATAATAGTAGTGATATAATAGAAGTAGTAATAGTAGTAGCGGTGGTGGTCGTGGTAGTAGATGGTCGTAAACTTTATATTATATTATGGTAATAATTTAATAATTAATGAAATAACGATGGTAAAAAAAAAAAAAACGAAAAAAACGAAAACCGAAAAACAATTAACAAGTAACAAAAATTAACTTCGAGACAGACGGCGAAAACTAGACAGATGTATAATTTTCAGTGAGACGCAACCGTCACGCGGGAAATCTCGCGAGCGGGGGAGCTGGGGGGGCGGCGCTCGCGCGACGGCGTTTTGACGCGTGCTCGGCGAATGGCAGGGATGAATGGTCCGCGGCAGACTGCCGGCAACGCTCGGGTTGTCGCGGCGCGCGCGTTCGCCGGTGGCCACCACGCACGGGGACGCGCGCGCGGTCTAGCGGTGCGACCGTGTGGCCACGCGCGTGCCACCCCCGCCATCCCCCCCGAGGAGACAATGACCCAGTTTCGGAGGTGCTGTCTTCCGGGAAAGATGTCCGAGGGGTGGTGAGGGGGTGCGAAGAGCACTCGCGTGAGGAGGGTGGTAGGATGGGAGACGGAGGCGATGGAGGCGGTGGAGGCGACGGACACGAGAGGAGAGTCGTGAAAAAATAAATACACACATGTGTCGTGTACGCACTCTAATATTAATAATAGTGTAATTATTTATAAGAGTAGGTAACGTATGACGATATGTATAAATAGGTACTTGCCACAAACGTTTCACACAAATCTCATAATAACAATAGGACATTCCTTAAGACACTGTTCGTGTCGTTGACAATATGTATAGGTTTTCGAGTGCAGTCCATGACTCGTTGTCGGGGGGTCTTCGTCGGTGGGTTTATTGTCTTGGCACTTATTGCATCGAGTAATGGCTATTCGATCTCAAAATGGAGTGAATTGGTACTTGAGATGTGTACCTACCTTAGCCGAAGTCACGTGATGGCAAAGAAAGGCGGGTGGGACAGTAACATATTTTGTTCAAAACGACTACCCCCTAAATACTGCAAAACACTGAAAATATATATTTGCTGTCCAAAAGTAATTCAGTGACAATTTCAGACAACGTCCACCCACTTACTTTAGTATTATTAAGTCTTATACCTCGGAATCCGCCAGACTACAATTTTTTTATTTATATCTAACGACCTATCTACCTTTGT